GGAACATAGTTTTCAAACAACTGATCTTAATTTCTCTATCACTTCATTCTTTTATCAAAAAAACTTATCTCTAATAATTTCTTAAATTGAATTCTTTTAAGCTTTGAGAAATTCTGTATTTTTGAAATTTTGAAAGAGTGCTCATGCTTTGTTGTGGATATCAACCATACTGATCAGGAAAAATCTTAACTCAGTCCTTAATTTTTACTTATGTTTAACTCCCCCTTGATCATTTTAGCAGCCATTATCTGGACTGCCTGGTAAACAGTACTACCTGTTTGTAGTACAACTTTATGCTGCCTACTTTAAAAGTAAAGACACAAATTGGTTAAAAGTAAAAGAATAGAAATAGATAAAAGAAAGCTGGAGCAACTATATTAATATCAAGACAAACCAGATTTCAGAGCAAAAAATATTATCATGGCTAAAGCAGGTCATTTCATAATGATAAAGGGAAAGAATTCATCAAGAGGACACAGTATCCTAAATGTTTATAAACTTAATAACAGAGCTTCAAATTACATGTAAAGCAAACAAAAACTTCTGCAAGGAGGAAGAGGCAAACCTACAATCAAAGCCTGAGATTTCAGTATCTCTTTCTCAGCAAATCAAAGAACCGTACAACAAATCAATAAAACATAGAAGACCCGGGCAGCACTACCAAGCCAGCTTGGCCTAACTAACATTTATAAAATATTAAACCACAAATCAGCAGAATGCACATGCTTTTAAAGTATATATGGAACATTTAGGAAGATAGACCATATTCTTGGCCATAGAACATGTCTTAACAAATTCAAAAGGATTTGAAACATATAAAGTATGTTCTCTGAGCACAATGGAATTAAATAAGATCAGTAACAAAAACATCTCTGGAAAACTTCCCAAATATTTGGGAACTAAATAATCCTATAGATAATCTGTGACTCAAACAGGAAATCAAAAGGAAAATTAGGAAGTATTTTGCACATCAAAGCAGTAATTAGAGGAAAATTTATAGCACTAAATGCCTATATTAGAAAAGAAGGTCTCAAATGAATGACCTCAACTTCTACCTAGAAGGAAATAAAGATAATAGAAATCAAATAGAAAACAGAAAAATAGAATTCAACCAAAAGCTGGTTTTTTGGGATGATTCTTCCCACTTTCTCCACAAAATCTGCTCTACTCACAGAATTCAAGATGTTAGTTAATGATGACTTCATTTTTCACATTGCTTAGGTCAAAATTTGGATTCATCCTTGACTCTTCTCTTATTCTATATCCAATTTTATCAGAAAATTGTATGGGCCTCACCCCCAAAATATACACAGAATCCTATCATTTCTATCTACCTCCACTTATACCACCCTGGTCCAAACCTGCTTTACTGCTCACTTGCACTACTGTAATAGCCTCCAACTGGTCTTCCTCTTTATTCCGACCCCTGCCCACCTCCACCCTTAGACTTCTTTGAAGTGTAGCTTGTAAGTCATATCTCGGCACTCTGACCATAAACCACCAATGCCTCCCCGATTCACTCAGAATAAAAGTCAATAAAATTGCCTAGTATGGCTGATATATTCTGGTTTCCAATATACTCATGATGTTCTTTGCTGGCTCCAACCAAATTGGCTTTGAAATGCTATTCCTCAAACATGCCAGATGTGTTCCTGCTTCAAGTCTTTTGCACTTTACTCTTCCATCTGCTTGAAAAGCAGTTTCTCCAGATGACCAGCTCCTTCAATTTTTCTACATCTTTGCTCCAGCACTGGTTTCTCAGCGAGGTCTTCATAAATATCCTTTTTAAAGCTGTAACTTCCCAATCCACAAAACTAGCACCCTGTATCCCACTTTCACACTTTTTTCCCCATAGAATTTATCACCCTTTAATATCTTCATTGGGTGTGCATGCTCTCAGCTCCCTCCAACCCTATAAAGGGTAAGTTCCAGGAGGACAATGATTGTGGTCTGTTTTATTCACTACTGTATCCCTATACCAGTAGGACTATGGCTAGAGACATATAATAAATAATTGTGAAATGAGTAAAATTAGGCTTCCTTATCTGCCACATTTTTGGCCACTTGAAGATTTATTAGCTGTTTCCAAGGTTTACTTTTATTACTGTAGCATTTCTGTACCCCTCATGAATTTACTGTCATCTTTAAAAGTTGGCTATTTCACTATGTGCTTTTCCCAAATCACTTAATTTCTCTTGTTAGAAAAAAAAGACTCTGGCAGATAAATTATGTTTCCTAGTTCTAGTCTCAATCCATCTTAAAATGTTCTTTCTATTGCTATGGCATTTTAATCATTAGTTTTCCACTTCAAGGTATAGCAATTTGTAGACTGGCTATTAAGATTAACTCTAACATGAATAAAACACAACATTTTCTTCAATTTACCTAAATACAATTTACCTAAATACAAAATGAGTAAATATATGATATCTGTTTTTCAAATGTTTCCTATATAATAAAATTTCTGCCACTGTGACCTATGCTACTTTAAAATAATAAAATTAAGTGAGCCTCACCTGGCCATTCAACAGTAGTTCCAGCTCAATGCTGACCATACAACCCTAAGAAAGTCCTTTGGGACAAAACTTTTATCCTGGTAATTTTAAACAAACATAAACTGATATATAAAAAAGAAATGTTAGTTTGCTATTAAGAAATTAGTGTACAGTCCATAAAATCATGAGTTTTCTTCTCAGTACAGTTTCTTCTTGATTTAAAATTCAAAGTTAACTCTATAGAGTTTTATTAAAACCTGAATTTTCTAGTATTTTCTCATGTTTTAAAAGAGTTGATATCAAATGAATTAAATGATGTACTTAAATTCAAAATATACTTGTATTTGTTTTTTGATGAAACATAGGCTGGCGGAAAATGACCTAGTCACCAAGGCTTCAATGCTAATTCTTAATCATTTTTATGTGAGACATACTTTTAAAGATTTAAAACATGTAACAAGTATTAATATTTAATGGTTTGATTTTTTGTATATTGACTTTTTGAATATTCCTTTTGTATATTTATTTGGCTCACGTGTGAGTATTATAAGATATGTCACAAAACTTTTTTATTTTAAATTTTGAAATTTAAAAATGTCATAAATTTTAAGGAACAATTTTTATAGTGTCAGTACGTTTACTTTGAGCACCAACAATACTTAGCTGAAATTATCATTTCTGTTAGTGACAAAATTATACCTAAATTGCCAATGTTTAATACATTCTTTATTACTTAAACCCAGATAAACACAGTATTAATAATTCAAAAAACTAAAACTCAAGAAAAACATGCAGCATAATACAGAATATCTGTGTTTTGATTAAATATAAATAAGTACTTTTTATAAAACTTTTTGCCTTGTATAAACAAAAATGTTTTTATTCTTCAATAATGTTCCTTCTCTTCACTAGTGATTCTTCATGCTACCCAATGTAGTATAATACAGTCGTGTTCCTGTTCAGCTATTAGACTCCTATTTTTAAACAAAAGAATTTTAAATACACATTAAATGCATAGTGTATTATTGAAGTGTATTGGTCTTAGAAGACACAGAATATTGAAAAGTTTGAATTAAATAGGCAATACAGATGTAATGCATAAAACATGAAGGGAAGGGATGGAAGAAAAAGGTAGGTTTAAATTCTTACATTCCTCTCAGGAGATTGATTTACACATTACCATCCACTTGTACATTATGATCCCCTGGAAAACAATCCCTGGGCTGGACTAAAATTAAATAATCCCCTGGCCCCTCCTAAGTTATATTCTTTGATGCCCAAAGTATATATCCAATAGCAGTGCAGGGACACTGTTGCTGAAACTATATAAACAGAGTAAGAGACATGGAAAAAAAGCTGAGTCCATCAACTTCTCCAGGGTGATTTTCAGGAACAGGCATAATAACTAAGAAAAAAATATTGTTTTTTAACATGTGTTTTAGTATGGAAAGATATCCTAAACTGAGATTCCTAGCATACCTACACTGTGAATTCTTATGTTTCAAGAAATATTAATTTACACCAGAGTAAATATTTTGCATAAATTTAATAAATGTGCAAAATCATATAAGGATATCATATCCAAATCTCAGCTTATCTTCAAGTTTCAAGGTGATATAAGTCTGTTCTGGAATCCTTACATCGTTCACAAAAGTCTATAAGGAAAAAAAAGATGTCAGGTTACATATAAAGTATTATATTTCAGACAAGCAAATTCTCAAATCTAATACTTAGAAGTACATATCATATGGTGACTAACACAGCTTGTGCATCATAAGATGTGTCATGCATCCTATAGGGTGATAATTTCATACTAATCCTTTTATCACTATTACACAAAGAACCTGGTGCTGCCAAGATGAATTTAGGCATTTAGTATAGTTCCTAAAAATAATGCCAAGAAAAGCTCCTACTCTGAAGCTGGCAACTGTAAAGGGTAAAATACTAAACTCTTAATATACTATGGGGCTCAGTGGACCCAATTTCAGCTTTTTTGAAAAATTCTATTTGAGAGGAATCATATTTCATTAGTTTTATTCTTAAAATGGTTCCAAAGAACAAAAATAAAATTTACTTTTAAAAAAACCAGAATAAGTCTTATTCTGTTTTGCAACTGTCAAATGAGTTCTTTAGACCCTTTCATGAATCTGAGAAACATTACTGGAGTCTTAGTGATCTTAGTTTTCCTATATGTTGAAATTGTTCTATTTCATCATCCTAGTAACTATTGTCCTCTTTATTTATCAATTATTTATTTTTTCTTTCCATTTCTTTTTTTAGAGACAGGGTTTCATTCTGTTGCCCATGCTGGAGTACAGTGAGTAGCATGATCATAGCTCACTATAACCTTGAACTCCTGGGCCCAAGTAATCCTCCCACCTCTGCCTTCTGAGTAGCTAGTATTACAGGTATGTGGCACCACACCGCGGGCTGATTTTCAAATTTTTTGTAGAGATGAAGGTCGCACTATGTTGCCCAGACTGGTCTTGAACTCCTAGGCTCAAGTGATCCTTCCACCTCAGCCTTCCAAACTGCTGGAATTACAGGTAAGAGCCACTGTGCCAGCCAATTATTTCTAATAATACTGAAAATGACCAAAATATTAAGACAAAAGAATAACAGAAATACTTAGAATAGTGCTACCCAACACAAATATATTGCAACCCACAAATCAAGCCACACATAAATATTAAATTTTCTAGTGGGCATATAAAAAATGTAACAAAAAAGAGATGAAATTAGTTTTAATAATATATTTTTAATTTAGCCCAATATATACAAAATAGTAACATTTCAAAAAATAATGAATATAAAAACTAAGAAGATAGTTTACACTCTTTTTTTGGTAATATGTCTTTGAAATTTAGATGTCACATTTCAAGTGCTCAATAGGCACACATGGCTAGTGGTTACTGCAGTGAAAAGCACAGACCCAGAAGGATGATGCAATAGTGAAATAAATCATCACTATTTTATCATTCTTCAGTTTTCTTATTGCAATGCCCAAAATATTGCATCATCTTTCCAAGAAAATATAAAAGACATCTGGAGACACTATCTTTATACATGTTGGGTTTTGTGGGGGGGGGTAGCTATTAAAGAACGCAGCTGAAAATTCAGAATTTCTAATTTAACATCCATAAAAGCAAAGAGGAGAAAATAGGAAGATACTTCATAATTTTAAGACAAATTCAAAGAGACAGACAGCAGGACTCTAGACTACAGTAATAATGATAAAGCTGATTATATAAGCAAAATTATCAGAGCATGTGTCTTCAGATGCAAATAATCCTAGATTAATTTTCTAATGCAATAATCAATGAGAAAAGAATGTTTCTGAGAAAAAAAGAAAAGAGGGTGTTTCCATCCAGTCATTCAATAAAAATCATGCAATGTTTTTCAACAAGAATCTGAACTGTTTTGTATTTTAAAAGAAATTTTGACAGTATTCTTTTTTTTAAAATTGATATTTGTGTTTCAACACTTATTTGATACAGCAAGTGGACAAATACAAGTATCTATACAAAGATGACAGAAGGACAGAGATGATGTAGAAAGAAAATTATTGGATTTATCTTCTAATTATCATTTATAATTCTAATAACAAAAAATGTTTCCCAATTATGAAAGAAAGATGATGGCTATCCTCTTAATAAAATGACAAGCTGATAATGTTTAAAAACACTGTGTTTTGTGCCTGCACGAACAAGAAAAATCATAAATAATATGTTAGAACCAACCAGAAATGTATATTACTTGAGATCTGGAATCGACATTTATAAAATATTTATACATCCCATTTACATGTCAACTGACAAGCACTTAGTTGCATTCAAAGAACACTGCCCATTTTATGGATTATATACCTTTAAAAACCAGGAAAATATGTAATAAAAATTTAAGTTTGTCATGTCTAATTTTTATTATAATTTCAAGTTGTTTTAATTATCCTTTTATTCTTACTTTTAAAAAATATTTGTAAAATGACATGTTACATATATATTAAAAAATAAAAAGGCTCCACTGGACAGAGCTGGTAAATGGTGATAACTATTTTTCCTGGCATTCTAGAAGTTAAAGGTCTGGAATTTGCTAGATTTATAGATCGTAGAACAAATGTTATACTTAATTGCCTGGAACGTAGACATCATATAAATATCTAACAAGTTTTCCTTTGTTAAGTTGAAATTTTAAAAATTACTATACTCTTTCCTTTTTATTTTTTCCACCTCCTATTTTATTGGATTTGAGATGGCCATAACAGCTTGTGTGGGAAGGCTCCCTTCATGGTGAGGAAGTTTAGAAGGACCCTCAATGATGTACAGGAAAACACATGAAGAAATTAGGTAATTATTGCCTCAAATTTTTATGCATAATTAGCTCTTTATAATATATCATAAAATACCAGCTTCTAAGTCTACAAAAGAAATGAGAAAAAGCTGTAATTTTTATTCTATGGACAAATATATGGAGACAGTGAAATACTGCTAAAACTCCAGATCATACTTTTGTATGATTTATGAGGAATCCTAAATCATAAGCTTCCAACATGGTTTACAGAAAGGTTGAAATGATAATTTTAAAAAGTTCAAAGTTTTCTGGGATTTATAAACTCCAATTTCCGGTTTCTTCCCAAAATAAATATTTCAGAATATTTTAGTGGTAATGTTGGGATTCAAACCCAGGTCTCTGAACTACAAATCCCACGTGCTCTCTAGATCGAGAAAGGTCAGGTGCCCAAGCTAAAGTATCTCCAAAAACTCCCTTATCCAAACCGCTAACCCCACAGAAGCAAACCAAACTAAATAAATACCTATTTAATTTATATACAACCAAATTACACAATTGATAGTATAAAATCATATAACCACCATATATTATATTGATGATCTGGAAAACTGAACAGAGTGGCCAGGAGGACAACCACCTGAATCACTCTGCCAGCTACAAAAGCCTCCTCTTCTTTCTCAACTCTTACTTTTATACTTTAGTGAGGACCACTCTCCACTCTATGCCACACAGGTCTGATGCTGGAAGGAATAGCAGTGTAAAAGGGGGACAGAGTGGGGACTGGTACATACATTGCAGAGGTGGCAGCCTAGTAACAAAAGACAGGGTTGGAATAGGAGAAATCAAGTAACTCACCTAAACTTACATCATTCAAGCTTGTCTCATAACCACTACACTGTATCTATTCCCCACCTCTGAAATTACTACTTTTAACCTGATGCTCAAGTTTCTAGAATATGAATATTAAAAGTAAATAGGCTGTAAATAATAGTCTACAAGTTCTCTTTTAAATAAAATGCATGATAGTTGGCAATTCATAGATTTTTGATATTATTTGGCTACCAAAGTCCTTTGCAAAGGCATGTTTCTTAGGCTATTCCAGTTATTCTTAGTTATTTCCAGTAATAGTACATTTGTCATCTGTGTAATGCTTTAAAGTTCTGTAACAGGTGCACACTCACATGTATTGTCACATTAAATTCCCATAATAGTACTATACAGCAGGAATTATCATTTCACTATTTTATAACTGAAAAAAAGATTTTGCATTGCATCTTTATATTTATAAACGTCAACTCAATATATTTTCACATACTTCAGGAGATAATATGAATATATATGAGAAAACTGAATTTCAGAGCGATTAGTGATTTATCCCAGGTTACAATGCTGGTAAATTACAGAGATGAGATACAAATCCAGGTCCTGATTTCAAGTTCAAATTGCAGATGTTACTCTGAGTTATTATCTTTCATAAAATTGAGTGTAATCAAATTATAAGAAAGACCAACCCAGAGAAATATAGTTCATACTTCATCTGATATTTTTTATAACACCAAAGAATTTTCATATCATAGTCTTATAGAAGATTAAAACACTCATGTTTTGCTTATTATTGTCCAAGATAATAAGGTAAAGACACATAAGAATAGTATTGTGTTCAAGATGAAACTTTTTAGACTTAAAGACAGAATGTAACATTGTTAAAATATTTCACATACAGAAATAGATTAAAAATTTTCTCCATAATACCCTTCAAACAGAAAAAGTTAATTCAATTTTCTACTCAGAAAACATTTACTGTGTTCATGTACCGTGCAGAGCCCTGTGCTAGGTACCATGGTCACAGAAGTGGAATCAGGAGCTCATAATTCACCACAGCAGCAGAGATGTAAAAGTAGATTTAATAAAAGGCTGATAAAGCACCCAAAAGCTTATAGTTGTGGAGAAGGAAGAATAATTCTAGCATATAGGAGCTGGGAATCAAAATTGCTAACTTACATGCCTCATGTTAACAACAGTGTTTACCTACTTTGCCCATCTCCTTTTATTTCAATCCTTTGAACATGTTAAAGCAAGATAATATTCCTAAATACAAGGGTTTTCTCTTTGATTCCCTCAGGAAGAAGTGGAATTTGAGTTTTACTTTTAAATATAAATAAAAATTTTATGAATGGCAAGGGAGACGTGAGAACTACTAGGCTGAAGAAAACCTAACAAATCATTTGGAGAAGGAGATAGTAGAGTAGAAGACTACTATTTTGGAGGTATGGCACTGGAAAATGCGATGGAGCATGAACCTGGAAAAGTGGGTAGTGCTAAATGTAAGGCCTTTCAGTATAAACATGAAGAATGCAGACCTAATTCTGTATGTGCTATGAGAAAGAAAGAAAGGCTTGAATAAAACCAACAGAAAAACATGCCTACAATAAAGGTATCTCAAAGAATAAATATACAAGTTCTTCAGTAATAGGCCAATCCAGAAACTGGCACACACAAAAAAGTTTCACCATATTTGCCAAATTTCTGCATGCTTTTTCATTTTATGTTTAATGTATATTCTGAAAAGCAGTAGTAGTGTGAAGCAGTTAGGATACATTTAGTTTCTGTTAAATTCATCTTAAGAATTTCAATAGCATAGATATGAACAATGCTATATTTGCCTGTGTTAACAGAGCCTTAAGAAAATTAAGAAATTGAAAGAAGATAAATATTCAATATTTCAGCATTCTCCGTGGCTACTTATATTCTGCCAAATATAGAAAGACCAAATGAAGAAATAAGAAAAAAATTCACTGCAGTAACACAAAAATATCTTCAAAGTATGAAGTCAAAGAAGCATTAATGAACACTGGGGTTTAGATAATGTACCGTATTTATTAATGGTTATGTTCCATCTTTATTTTCTAAAGTTAACCCGTACTTCTCAGTCCTCAAGAATGCATTTTTGCTGTTTTCTCACATATAATAAAGTCATATAATAAAGTCAAGCTTATGTCTCAACTCCTTAAGAAAGTCTTCTTTAAATTACACAAAATAATAATCAACCACTTTTGAATTCTTATAAGTATATTTTGCTTATACAGTTTCTTGGGAACATGAGCTAATTTCATATTATACTGTATGGTCCCCAAAGTGTTATGTTACCTAGTAAGCATTTAAAAGTAAAATATAGGCCGGGCGCGGTGGCTCACGCCTGTAATCCTAGCACTTTGGGAGGCCGAGGCGGGCGGATCGCTCAAGGTCAGGAGTTCGAAACCAGCCTGAGCGAGACCCCGTCTCTACCAAAAATAGAAAGAAATTAATTGACCAACTAAAAATATATATACAAAAAAAAATTAGCCGGGCATGGTGGCGCATGCCTGTAGTCCCAGCTACTCGGGAGGCTGAGGCAGTAGGATTGCTGAGCCCAGGAGATTGAGGTTGCTGTGAGCCAGGCTGATGCCACGGCACTCACTCTAGCCTGGGCAACAAAGTGAGACTCTGTCCAAAAAAAAAAAAAAAAAAAAAAAAAAAAAGTAAAATATAAACTAAAGAAAAAAGAAATATAAATAGCAAATGTAATCTCGTTAGTCCTCTTGCAATATTAAGCAAATATTCAAATAAGACACAAAATACACTCTTAACTTACCCCATTTAGGCTGCCCAAATCTTTCACCAAATGTTCATCCGTAGAGGCATCATAATTGATTACAGCATGTTGCTTATCCACACTACGAGACTGAAAGGAATTTTTAAAGTTAATAAATATTAAAAAATACCAGAATAAATATCAATCAAAAGATTTTGGCTAGATATCTAATATTAATAGGACAGCAGATAAATATGGGGAAATATCAAAGTAAAATTTAATTAAATGATATTTAAATTATGCTATTCTACAATACAAATTTGGCATCGTTCCCCAAAGAAGAATCTTTTCTACTAAATTTACATGTTCTACTTTTGAGAGAAATTTTATCAGCTGACCTTGTTAAATATATCAAATTATATATTTTTTTAATTTGGAAATGTTATAAAGAAATTGCGAATTATAATTTTATAATGTTTTACGAATCTTACTGTATTTAATAATAAAAAATTTATCTGTAGGTTTTCTTCTTTCAATACTAAAAACAATAATATAAATTGTTCAAGAAGTCCACAGATTTAGAGAAAATGGGACACAGTGTGCTATGTTTCTGAACAAAATTATCCTCACTTAAAATATGGGTTCTAAAACTGGAATTCATGGGACAGCTCTAAGAGTTAAAGAGAGAAAGAGGTATAAAAAGGAATTATAGTGGCAAACTGTGGTTTTTGAAAATTGCTTTTAGGTCGCTTTCAAAGTATACACACACACACACACACACACACACACACACACTCTTCGGAGCTTAGTGACTTAACCTAAGGAACAGGTCAAAACTCTCTTGTTCTTGCCTGACCATGCTCTATATTTCTATTTAAATATATATTTAATATATTTATATATCTTCAATATTCTATTTAAAAATAAAGCATAAATAAAAAATGTCATAAGATATCCATTGAGAAATGATCATCAAATTTAAAGGAACCATTTTTAAGTATTCAGTAGCATAAATTCATCACCCCAAATAGAAACTCTATAACTATTAAGTAATAAATCCTCATTCCTATCTTCCATCAGTTCCTGATAACCACTAATCTACTTTTCTGTCTATGAATTGGCATATACCAGATATTTCATATACATGAATCATATAACATTTATCTTTGTGTCTGGCTTATTTCATTTAGGATGATGTTTTTAAGATTCATTCATGTTGTAGCATGCATCAGAACTTCATTCCTTTTTATAGCTAAATAATATTCTATTGTATGTATATACCATATTTTATCCATTCTTCTGTTGATGATACATAGCTCTTACATTTAGGTCACTGATTCATTTTGAGTTAATTTTTGTATGTGGTGTGAGGTAGGGGTCCAACTTCATTCTTTTGCATATGGAAATCCAGTTGTCCCAGCCCCATCTGTTGAAGAAACTTTTCTTTCCTTCACTGAATGCATTTGGCACCACTGTCAAAAATCGATTACCATTGTAGCAGTTTCCTAGGGCTGCCAGAACAAAATAATACAACTGGATGGCTTAAGACAACAGAAGCTTTATTCTTTCATTGTTATGAAAGATAACAGTTCAAAATTAAGGTGTTGACAGGGCCATATTCACTCTGAAACCTTCTAGGGAGTATCCTTACTTGCCTCTTCTAGCTTCTAGTAGCCCCACTGGTCGTTGGCTGGTGATGTCATAATTTTAACCTCTGTCTCTATATTCACATAGCTGACTACCTTCTCTGTGTGTTCTTTTCCTCTTTTTATATGGATGCAAGTCATATTGGATTAGGGCCTACCCTAATGATGTCATCTTAATTTGATGATATACCCCAAGACTCCATTTCCAAATAAGGTCACATTTGTAAGTAAGAGAGATTAGGGTTTTGAGATATCTTTTTGGGGGACACAATTCAGCCCATAAAAGCCATAGATGTATGAATTTATTTCTGGTGTCTCAATGTTATTCCAATGGTCTATATGGCTACCCTTATGTCACTATCACTAGCCTTCTAATAAATTTTAAAATTGGGAAGTGGGATGTCTCCAAATTTGTTCTTTTTCAAGACACAGACACCTTATCAATCATGTCTCTTAACAGTACATATCCGCATATGAGAGGGGACTTATCCTGCAAGCTCCTAAACAAAGGGCCAGCCATTCTCAGTATCTTTATTGGGATACTTCTCTGCTGGTAATACAACTGCCACTTAGCACCTTTTCCACTTCCTGATGGGCTTCTCCCATATGACCCTATGGACCAGTTCCAACAAGCTTATATTCAAACACAATCATTGCCATGTTTTTCTCAGTTGTACTTTCACTGCTCTATCACTAAGGAGACCAGAAAATCTCTCTACTATTTATTTCCCTTATTGGTTTAATTACTCATACAGCTATATAGTGTCTTTACTTATATTGTCTAAAAACAATATAATAAATTCTTTAATTATAAAGTCAAGATGCATACAAATATATAAAAATCTGATTTTTCCTGGGATATTGCAGGATTTCTCAATTTAGGCACTATTGACATTTTAGGGCCAGATCAAGGGTGGAGACCCTTTCATGTTGGAAAGCTGCATTAATTTAGCTGTTCAATTAGATATACTTAAAAATATACATTATTTTGTAAAAATCTAGCTACTATGTTCTTAATAATTTCAAAAAATGAAAACTATTTAATTTTAAAGTTAGTGAGCCTTTTAATGACTTTGTTGTGTCTGCCTTTTATTGGAAAGCATTTGAATATTTGGTTGCAGCATATGGGTCCACAGTTTCAGTTAATCCTCTAGATGGGTATCAGCCTTAAGGGTGTCATGATTTGGGTTAGGTAGGAGAATGTAGATTCACTGCAAGTGGCTGAAAAGCAAGAAAGCATTTCGGGGGCATGCTGCTGAAGGCATGGATTTTTCCATATTTCAATTGTATCTTTCTTAGCATCAAACAATGAACTTTAAAATGTTATCTACTGAGAGCTCAATCAATTCCATCTGTAGTTCTTTAAGTGATTTGGGTGATATCAACTAGGTGAGGCTGAAATGCTAATTTGAGTATGATGATTCTCAAAATGTTAAGCTTTCATTGTATTCTTCAATTAATAGGTCTATAACAGCTGGATATTCTTCAAATGATTTGCATATACCATTCTGCTCATCAATGACCTTTGCTAACTGGGGAAAAGGTTCATCCAAAATTTCCTTTTAAAGAAGAAGTGTTCTTCCTTGTAAAGAATAAGTAAAAAAAGATATCTCTACTTGAAATGCTTGGATATTTTGCCACATATTACATATAGACTTAGTACTTTGCAAAGAATTATTCACATCATTTTGATTTGACATCATATCACACAGAAATTCTGCAGTCCTATAGAAATCTTTCAATAATTCACATTGCTGATTCTGTTCCTCTTAACATTTAGCTATCTGTTCTCACAGATATAAATTTTGGCTATCCCTGCAATAGCCAACACACTTTGGAATGATATAGCAAATCCACACTGAATACCTCATTGTTTGTTCAACTTTAGCATGCTATGAAACTGACAATGCCAGGTTACATCTGCACCAATATAGTTAACAACAATTATAACTTGTTCCAAAGTGTCACTTAAAATAGTAGCTTTAGAACAAAGATTCTGTTGATATAAGATACAATGAAAATAAATGAGAGCATCTAAATCTATTAACTTTTTTTTTAATCTGTGCAATAAACCTTTCATGTTTTCCTGTCATGGAAGGACCACCATCTGTATACATACTCACTAAATTTACCAAATTCAGTCCAACTTCACGACATTTATCTTGAAAGTTGTTGAAGATATCTATTCCCCATGTTCTGTTCACAAGAGTGTCCAAAGTGAGTAACACTTCATAGCAAAAAAAATCTTCTGTTATTACCAAATGAAGTATAAAACCTGTACCGAGTCAACAGTATCAGTTGATTCAGCCAAAGCGATTGAATAGTATATATTTTCCTTTCGAATTACTACATGAAGTTGTTAAGGTAAAAACTAATTCATGCTGCTGATCAGTTATTATTCTCCATGAAGGAGGTAGTTGTTTGTACTTTGAAACGTTATCAGGGTCTAAGCATCCAACAACTTCAGCAATGCATTCTTTCACAATTTGTACATCACTGAATGGCTTCCCTTTCCCTCCTTGAGTATATAAGCTACTTTACAAGTTAATTCAATG